GCAGCCTACTCATCCTATACTGTATAAAAGAACTGATGGGGAAGAAATTGTTTAGCAGAACACCACTGAAAGATGAATTACAATTTTGCCTTCATTCAAAGCATAAGGTTTTCCTGGATTCTCTTTTGGGTTGATGGAGAACAGTCAGTCAGTCAGAGCATAATATAAACTTTGGTCATTTATAGCTCCAAAAAACTTGAACAGGATGAAATTTTCCAAACTATTTCCTGCAATTCAAGTTCAATTAGAACTTGAATAAAACGAAACTTTTAATAAATAAAGATAAATTGGTCATTTCAATACATAATAAATTAAGTAAGGGTAAGTTAAAGCATGGTCACTAGCTGCTTCTAAACAGAAGACAACAAGCCCATGGCTTACGCTGAGGTGGCTCGATCCTGTGTGAACCAGAGGAAAGCATTACAGGTAATCAGGATTCAGCACCTTGTTGATGCGCTGAGTATGGCAGCAAGAATCTGCCAGCATCACAGAAACTCTACCCTTTCCTGAAACAACCTGATAATTGCTTTCGTCATGGTTAGCACCTGCTGTAAATCCCCGTGCAGGCAACCTTAGGATCTGATGCCACAAAGAGAAATCCGCCACTCCCCAGCTCTCTCCTCATTTTTAAGATGTTCTTCCTTTTCTCCTCATCTACTTTCCTGGCCCATCACTCTTCTCTCAATTAATCTTTTTGTTTTTCACGTTCTCTCATCCTCCTATATCTAAGACCCAATAATGATACTCACTCATACTGTAAGCATAGCTGAAGTCAATTTTCCAGATCACTGAAGTTTACTCTTTTAAAAGCTAGAACATTTTTAAAAATTATTTTAACCATTTTGGCTGAGAGTATTGAAAATGTGCCCTTTGTTCTCTTTACTTCTTAACAGTGTACACCGCAGAACTTGAAACCTTCTTGACCACGTAGGCCCGTCAACGTACACATGCCCCCCGGCCCAGTACACACTGCTCTTCCCATACACACAGCCCCACATCACTGAAGATTATGCTTCATTTCCTATCTCATTTTTAGAGTTCTAGATGTCCTCTTTACTTTTCATTGCTGTCGCTTTTTCTCACTTTTGCCTTTCCCCTCCCATTCCCTAAGCTGCTCTGTGTGTGCGCTGGGGTGGAGGGGAGGGCGGGGAGAGAGTAGTCAGACTAGCAAACTTGTAGGATACATGTCAGATAAGGTTTACTGATATACATTCACCAGTCTTGGAGTAAGGGCCTAGGTAAGGCCTGATCTGTGAGTAAAGTTCATTAGATTTGTGACGATGATTTCAAGAGCTCAGAAACTCTTTTTTTTTTAAAGTGGGGAACAGCCATGGTCATTGGTGACACATTGCTTTCATGCTGCAATGGCATAACTGACTCTTTTAAGGAGGGCGCAGCTCACGGTGGCCCATGCGGGGATTGAACCAGCAACCTTGGTGTTACCAGCACCACGTGCTAACCAACTGAGCTAACTGGTCACCCCCAGAAACCCTTTATACTTAATTCTGGGTTTATGCAGGAGTGATAAGTGCAGATAGTAAAATAGATAGGAGTCTGACCTCTGGATATGTAGGTTATGACTATCATTTGTATTCGTGTAAAAACATTGTTTCCAGAACTGTTTGTATTCGTGGTGTTAGGTCGCACAATATATTCTGCAATCTATCATCATTCCTCATTTAAACTTCAGATAAAACTGAGACAGAAAATGGCAAAGTACTGATTTTTGCAAGCTGGAGATCATCAAACAGCATAGCTTCCTGAGACATCTCTGTGCCCTGCCCTTTTCTTCCCCAGCCTTTAGCTTAGGACATTCATTGCCCATAAGCTAAGTGACTCACCATCATCGCGAGCACACCAGGTCACTCTGCCTTCCCAGACACCATTACTACACCATCTTTTCAGTTTCCCAAAGTGGAACCTTGCTGTCACCAAGGGCTCTTCCCTCAGTTTTCCCTTTTAAACCAGGCAATTTCAAGATTCTGGTACATGGATGTGGTTTATTCCACGGCCAAGATGCATTTTCCCTGCTTCTCACTCAAGCCTGCTAAAATTTGGCTCATGGCTCTTGCAGACTCCTGCTTTGCAAACAATCCTCTCACCTCCATCTACCCAAATCCATCCCAAATAATAGTGCCTACCCTTTCATTGTTGGGCTCTCTTTCTCCACTTCCTGAACACTATCATTGGTTAGCTCTCAAAATAGCTCTTGCTTTCATGTAAATGCTATATTTTTACCTTTAGTTCTTTTTATAGTACTTCTTTCCACCCACCTCCTCCTGTTCAATCTTTACATTAGCACCTTCCAGTTTCATATGTTCCATATAGTTTTACCAATGGAATTAAAGAAACATGTCGGAATTCTCTCTTTTCTCATCTGTCTACTCCAGAGTCATTTCCCTGATCACATACCTTAATACCTTCAACTACCTCCTGAGACATTTTCTGTTCTAAATGCCTCGAAAGTCACTTTTCCCATTGAACTTACTCAACTATTTTCCCATTTATTTATTTCCTAAAACATCCAGAGAAATAATTACGAGGTTTTCTGTTGTGGTCTGACCCCTTCTCCCTCCTCGGACTTTAATTGTCATTCACAGCAGGACTGAATTTCTGAACATTTATATGATGCTATACACGGCACTACACAAATCCCATTCCCCAAACTGTGCAACTCCCCAGCGTCCATCGTCTCACCAGTCCATTCTTCTACCTCTCCCACAGCTTTCCAGTTTGGCCAGTAGAATCCCCATTTCATGGTAAATAAACTCCATTCTGCCTTAGACTCATTCAGAAGACTTCTCTCTGGAAATCTGGGGCTTCTTGTAAAGATGCTGCGGGCTCCTGACTCCTGCAAGCCCTCCAGAAGGCAAGGACCCATTCCTCCACAGTACAAACACCTCGGGGTAAGGAGTGGAGGAGGGTCCACTCACTCCACCAGCACTTTGCCAGCCTCAACTAAAAGCCTTTCCTCCTTCCAGGCCCATGGCCTCTGACTAATCTTCCTTCCCCTGCTCCCCATCTCTCGGTCCAGTGGCCAGCTCATTTACCACACCTGCTTTCCATGGGCTTGGCCTCCTCATGTCCACTATTCTCTTTCAGTCACTTCAGCTAGCCATTTTCTGGACCCCGCCTTGGATCCATGCATCCCCTAGGACAACTCCCCTTGCAACTTCCCACCCACCCTGCTTCCTAAGGCCCTCACCCCAGTCAGCCTGCTCCCTGACCTCAAGGGGCGTGCCAATCCATCAGTCCTCCCATTTCTCCATTGCTCCCAGTTGATTGGCCCATTCTGGCTTCTTTTCCTTCCCTGTCCAGCTTGGATTCTGGGGCTGATCTTTAGAATTGCTCTTTAACCAGCACCCTCAGCTTCCTACCAGCAAACCTTCGGCTGGACTTCTGATACCAACCCAGTAAGTATCTGGGCAGCCTCCTATTTCCTGTGACCCCACTCTCTGGCTCTCATGCTCTAGATCAGCGATTCTCAACCTGTGGGTTGCGACCCCTTTGGAGGTCGAACGACCCTTTCACAGGGGTCGCCTAAGACCATCAGAAAACAAAAAGGTATTTACATTACGATTCATAACAGTAGCAAAATTAGTTATAGAGTAGCAACGAAAATAATTTTATGGTTGGGGGTCACCACAACATGAGGAACTGTATTAAGGGGTCATGGCATTAGGAAGGTTGAGAACCGCTGCTCTAGATCCTTGCTTAGGCCTCCTGCAGTCGCAGCTGAATCTCCTCCTATTCATCCACTCCTGGTTTGGCTTGCTCCCTTCCCTTCTAAGCATCCATTCTGAATGAATTATATGGAAACCTTGCATTTCTATTATTATTTAGTACTTTAAGAAATGCATTTGGATATGTGTTATTTTATTCACAAGACAACCTCTTATGGGGTGGAAGCTCAAGAATATTGCAGCCAAAAAAAATATTAAGGTTTATTGGGCGGCCGGTTAGCTCAGGTGGTTAGAGCACAGGCTCATAACACCAAGGTTGCCAGTTCGATTCCCACATGGGCCATGGAGCTGCGCCCTCCACAACTAGATTGAAGACAACTACTTGACTTGGAGCTGATGGGTCCTGGAAAAACACACAGTTCTCCAAAATATTTCTTTAAAAAATACACACACACACACACACACACACACACACTAAGGTTTATGGAGTTCTGTGGCTTACTCAAGCTCTCACAGCCTCCAAAGAGTAGAACTGCTTGGCCATCATAACAATCAGACTATATTTTCTTTCAGCCTATGTGATACACGTATGATGTTCCCAATTATTCAACACGCTAGTTGTGGGGATGACACATTAATCAAAAAAAGAGATAAAGAGGGACCACTGTGAAGGCAGGGGTCACCTCAGGATCAGCTTTCCACATGCAGTCGTCCCAGAAGCAAACATTTAGTTGACAACTGCTGGCTCAGATAGAGAAATGACTCCAATCAAAGAGATGCAGAGAAACTCCATGCAGGCCAAGCTGCTCTGTGTGCCCTGTGTGGGCTCCCATAACCGAAACCCAACAAATGAAGAGGAGTCATTCATCAGCGGTGGTGAATCGGATAAAGAGAGCAATTTGGAACTTACTATGGGGAATTCCTTCCAGGCGAAATTAGTGTGCATCGCAAGAGAAGACTGGTATGTGACATATTCACTCTTGAACAAAATAAAGATAAAATAGACTACTCCCCTCCCCATCCTGTGCCATCTAGGCATTTACTATGGCAATAGAGACCAGAAATACAATCAGGTACCAATCCTAATGGATGTACAGATAAGAATAATATTGAACAAAGACCCAAATTAAATTTAAAAGAAAAATTTTTATATGTGTAAAAAACCAAAAGGTCTCCCTCTACAAATCTTTCAGCTTGTTGGATAACAATTGTTACATCTGTATTGGTACATATCCCTAATAAAACCAATATTGTTATCTGCCTTAGGAATGCCCTCTCCCAACAAAAATGCAGATATTTAGCAAAAGAATCATTTACCTTATAGAAGATCAAAAAGAGATCATCCAGTTTCCCATGCAGATCACCTGGAGTACAAATGAAAAGCCACCATTCAGTAAAAGATAAGAAAATACCAATTTTGTTACAGAATTTTAAAACTGAAATATTGCTGATATAGTCCAAGCATTCACGAGGCATTGGGTTTTTACCCTATGATAATATGAATTCAACAATTTGTTTCCTTAGCACTCTATGGAAACTTTGTCCCCTTTCCTATAGGGGACAGCATCCAATACTGCAATTATCTATACACTCCAGTCATTTATGCAGTGTTTAGCTTCCTCTGTGCCAAGTACTGCACTAAGGGTTTATGTGAGTTATCCTGTTCAATCCTTAACAACCATTCTATGAGACAGGTATTACTTTCATCATTCTAATTTTACAAATTAGGCTCAGAGTAGTTAAGTAATTTATGTACAATTACCCACCTACCAAGTAGCAGAGCTGGAATTCAAACCCAAATGTATCTCTCTTCAAAACTAAAGCTCTTAGCTATTATTCTGTACTGCCCATACTGTAATCTCTGAGAGAGCAGCAATAGTATCTATCTTAGCATTAAACCACCAAGTGCCTCCCATAGTACCTGGTGCATAGCAGGCACTCAATAAATACATTTAATTGATAAATACATAGCTTTTTAAAGCCATGTTTTAAAGAATATACCCCAGCAGTAGCATTCTGAAGCTTAAAATTTGTGAGTAGATAGTTCACACCCTTTTGATGAGGCAATTATACAAAATAAAAATGGAAGCATGGTTTTATAAAACTCAGCCACTAAGGGAAACCATATGAATATATGAAGCCATTAATTAAAAAACAAAAGTGAATATGTGACCATTCAAAAGGCCTATTTGGATAACTATTTCTAGGTAAATATTTCATAAGCTCTGATCATAAATTTTTACTCTATGTATCCAACTTAATTACCAAATAGAATTTAATTTAGGAACACTTTTCTTCAATTTGCTTAAAATCCCACAACCAAAATTAACCAAATATATGCAATAGAAGACTCCAATTATAATGGGAATAATAAAATTAAAATCCTATATCATCAGCACTTATTTATAAAGTGACTACAATATTAAGAGTATATGAATAGTACGGTATACTTAAATCTCATTGCTTTCATATGGTCTCACTCCAAATCTAATGAAATAAAAATAGAAGAATTTTTTACTTATCAATTAAATATATATTTTTAATTATTTTATTTTCCTAATTTTCCTCAGGGTGACTCATCTTTCAAAGACATGGATAGACAGAACTGGTGCTGCTGGGATGCTAAAAAAATGAATTGATTTCAGGATATTAAGAGTTGAGACTATAGGGAACAGGCTGACAGTTGCCAGATGGGAAAGGGGTTGGGAAGTGGGGTGAAAAGGTGAAGGGATTAAGAAGTATAAATTGGGGGCCGGCCCAGTGGTGCGTTGGTTAAGAGTTGGCATGGGATGCCAGCTCTGAGCAGCAGGGCCCCGGTTCAGATCCCACATATGAGGGCCAGTGACACTGCACCCTCTACAGCTAAGATGGTGCACAACAACTATACCTGGAGCTGGGCTGCCGTGAGTTGCCAGCAACGGCGTATGCTGCAGCTTTTGTTGCAGTGGGCTGCCATGAGCTACCATGAGCGGCCAGCAGCGGGCGTGAGCTTTCGTGAGCTGCTGTGAGCCGCCCGTGAGTGGCCATCCAATGGCCGGCAAGCGACTGCCTCACCCGGGAAGAGTGCAATGATAATGCCAACATGGGCCAGTGAAGTGACGTCCTCCACAACTAGACTGAAGAACAAAAGGACAGCAACTTGT